CGCCCCCCCCCCCCCCTGGGGTCCCCCCCCCCCCCGGGGCCTCCTCCCCCGCGGCCCCCGGCCCCGCGCTGCCGGCCTTCCCGGCCTCCCCCTCGGCCCTGCCCATCCCCGCCCTGGACCTGCCCTGGGCCCTCTCCTTCCCCACCCGCCCCTTCCCACATCCCCCCTTCCCCTCGGCGCCCGCCCCGGGGGCCCAGACGTCCCCCCTCATCAACTGAGGGGGCCCGGGCCCGGCTCCGGCCTCCCCAGGGCACCAGGAGGCCCAGCAGGGCCTGGATCCAACCAGTTGGCCAGTGCACCCAACTGGGGTTGGTCTCCAAGACCAACCATTGGGGGTCTTGAGCTTTGGTGGCTAATTAACAATTTGGTTAATTGGGGGCATGAGGAGGCCCAGCAGGGCCTTGGCTCCAACCTCCCCTGGGGTTGCCCAGTCAACCCAACTGGAGTTGGCCTCCAAGACCAACCACTGGGGGTCTTGTTCCTGCCCAGAGTTGTTGAGACTTGGCTCAACTGTTGGCTAATTAATACTCTCATTAATTGGGGGCATGAGGAGGCCCAGCAGGGCCTGGATCCAACCTCCCAACTGGGGTTGGCCAGTTCACCCAACTGGGGTTGGCCAGTTCACCCAACTGGGGTTGGCCAGTTCACCCAACTGGGGTTGGCCAGTTCACCCAACTGGGGTTGGCCAGTTCACCCAACTGGGGTTGGCCAGTTCACCCAACTGGGGTTGGCCAGTTCGCCCAACTGGGGTTGGCCAGTTCACCCAACTGGGGTTGGTCTCCAAGACCAACTGTTGGGGGTCTTGTTCCTGCCCAGAGTTGTTGAGCCTTGGCTAATTAACAGTCTCATTAACCGAGGGGATGAGGAGGCCCAGCAGGGCCCAGCTCTGGCCTCCTCCAACCTCCCCAGTCTCACCCAACACCCAACTGGGCTTGGTCTTCAAGACCAACCATTGGGGGTCTTGAGCCTTGGTGGGTAATTAACAATTTTGTTAATTGGGGGCATGAGGAAGCCCAAGCAACCTCCCCTGGGGTTGGCCAGTTCACCCAACTGGGATTGTCCAGTTCACCCAACTGGGGTTGGTCTCCAAGACCAACTATTGGGGGTCTTGTTCCTGCCTGGATTAGTTGAGCCTTGGTGGCTAATTAGCAATTTTGTTAATTGGGGGCACCAAGAGGCCCAGCAGGGCCTGGATCCAACCTCCTCCAACCTCCCCAGGTTCTCACCCAGCACCCAACTGGGATTGACCTCTCAAGACCTGGGGCTGGTGGGGACATTCCCTCCCAGTTTTTTGAGCCTTGGTGGTTAATTAACAGTCTCATTAATTAGTGGGGAGGCCCAGCAGGGCCTGGCTCTGGCCTCCTCCAGGGATGAGGAGGTTTCCAACCTCTCCAGATGTTCAACCAACACCCAAGCAGGGTTGGTCTCCAAGAACCCTTGTTTGGGGGCATCTTCCTGCCCGGAGCTTTCATGGGTAATTAACAATCTCTCTTAATTAGGGGCTGAGGTTGCTCCTCCATCCCTGGCCTTGACCCCAGATCCAACCTCTTCCCAACTTCTCCAACCACTCAACCCAACTTGGTTGGGTCTTCAAGGGGTTGGAGACGTTCTCACCCAGAGCTCATCACCCTTCATGGCTAATTAGCGACCTCGTTAATTAGCTGGGATGAGGAGGCCCAGCAAGGCCTGACTCCAGTCTCCACCAACCACCCCAAACTGGGCCCAGTTGCCCCCACCCCCCCCCAAACCACTGGATGTTGGGAGAAGCCATTTCCACCCAGAGCTCTTCACCCTTGGTGCTTAATTAGGGCTTAATTAACACTCTTAATTAAGACATGGGGGAAACCAACCGCTTCCCCAACTTGACATTTGCATCTTTTTAACCAATTTCCCCCTTTTTCACAGCAAAAAAAAAGACTCCTCCTCAGATTTGGGGACAGAATCAATTAATTCCTGCCCCTAATTAAGACGATTTTTAATTAATTCCCCCCCCCCCCCCATGTTTTGTTTTTTTAATTATTCCCCCCCCCCCCTCATGTTTTTAAACCACCCAAAAGGTCCTGAATGGAAAGTGATAAAAAACAAAGCAGAAAATGGGATTTTTGGGGGTTTTTTTTCCCATTTTTGCTGTTTTTTGGGCTGATTTTTTGGGGGGAGGGTCCCGAGACCAAAAATGGTTCCTTTTTTGATGGTTTTTAATGGTTTTTAATGGGTTTTTTTGGTTGGTTTTTTCCTCCCCGTGGCTCGTGATGGTTTTTGGGTCCCCCCAAAATGTCAGTTTTTATTTTTTTTTGGGGGGGGAGGGGTAAAAATACCCCAATTTGGGGTGTTTTTTGAGGGGTAAAATTTTAAGGACCCGATTGGGGTAAAAATGGAGCTTTTTTTTTTTAATATTTTGGGGGGTTTTGTTACTTTTGGGGATTTTTTTTGTTAATAAAATCAGATTTATGAAGTGAAATGTTTGGGGGGTGTTTTTTTGGGGTGAAAACGGGGGGTTTTGGTTCTTTCTTGGGGTGAAAATGCTGGAAAATCCCATTTTTGGGGGTATTTTTAGTTGGTTTCTGCTCTGCCTGCATCCTGAATCC